ATGGTATATGACGCACAAATCTTCAGGGGGAGGGATAGTTCAGTGGTTTGAGCATTGGCCTACTAAAATCCAGGGTTGTGAGTTCAATCCTTGAGGGGGCCACTTAGGGATCTGGGGCAAAATTAGTACTTGGTCCTGCTAGTGAAGGCAGGGGACTGGACTCGATGACCTTTCAAGGTCAGTTCTAGGACACAGGATATCTCCATTAATTTAGTTTTTATTTTTAACACTGGCATGGATAGCAGGCTGCAAGCAGGGACTTTCCAGACCAGAAGATTCAGATGGGGGTGGTGAAATGCCTACAGTGAGCCTGGGAGATCCAACCTACCTCTTACTCCTGTGGCTCAAGAAGCTGTACACCAGAAACCTTGATAGCAGCAAGGAGCTCTTCAACAAAAGGCTCAGCAGGTGCAGAATGACCATTGAATGTATGTACCTTTGGCAGATTAAAGGCTCATTGGCGCTGCCTATTTGGCAGGTTAGACCTCAATGAGGAAAATATTCCCATGGTTATAGCAGCCTGCTGTGCTTGGCATAACATTTGTGAAGCTAAGGGGGAAAAGTTCCCCCAGGGGTGGAGCGTTGAGGCGGCTCACCTGGCGGCTGACTTTGAGTAGCCAGATACTAGGATATTAGAGGGACTCAATGGGGGGCTATTTGAATAAGGGAGGCTTTGAAGTAGCATTTTGACAATGAGCCCCAGTAATGTGTCTTTCTATAATGCATTCAGCAAGGCTTTGTTTACTTGCTGCCTGGAATGACCCTTGTAATGACTGCTTCTTGAGAGTGATTAGTAGTCTGCAAATACGCCAGTTGCCTCTGTGTATGAATTCCAGCACCAACCACTGTGTGTAGGAGAAAAAGATTCATTTTCTATGAGTACATTTTTATTAAACAGCAATAACCAATACACTGAATTCTATGTCTTGCAAGGAAAATGACACTGAGGAGCACTCTCTTAATGGAGGTTCTCATAGCTATGTGTAGGTCCAGCTGTCATTAGGCAACCTGTTTGAAGGGGTGGAGTGAAAGGGGTACTGCGATGGGCTGGGAACATGCAAGGAATGTGTGTGGGGAGTTTGGGAAGGGGAGGGCATGGGACACAGTTCTGTATAGTCTCTCTAATCTCTTGGAGCATTTCACAATCACCATCGTCATCCTGCTCAAGCGGCTGGTAGTATATTCCTACTGATATATTCTTATTATTCAAGGATGGAATTTCTATCCCTAGAGATTCTATTATACAGTTTGATTCATTTAAGACTTTTACTATATTTAATTTTCATATACAGAGACACTCCCCCCGCCACCCCCGAGCACAACTTACTCTGTCATTCCTATATATTTTGAACCCTAGTATTACCATGTACCATTGATTATCATCATTCCACCAGGTTTCTATGACGTCTCTTATATCAATAACCTCATTTAATACCAGGCACTCAAGTTCACCCATCTTATTATTTAGAATTCTAGCATCTGTATACAAGTACTTATAAAATTAATCACTTTTAAGCTGTCTGCCATTGTGATGTAATTGAATGGGATTCTTTTTCATTTGACTGTTTCTCTTCAGTTCCCACCTGAATTTGATCAACTTCTATTCTCTCATTTTTACTAGGATATAGAGAATCCTCGTTAATATATCCTCCCATAAGGAATATCTCTGTCTGAACCATATGCTCCTCCGCATCTGTTGGCTTTCCCCCAGCCCTTAGTTTAAAAATTCCTCTACAAACTTTTTAACTTTATCTGCCAGCAATCTGGTTTAGGTGGAGCCCATCCTTCCTGTATAGGCTCCTCCTTTCCCAAAAGGTTCCTGAGCTCCTAATAACCCAAAGCCCTCCTTCCTATACCATTGTCTCATTCATGCACTGAGACCCTGCATCTCTGCCTGTCTAACTGGCCTTATGCATGGAACTGGAAGCATTTCAGAGAATGTTATCATGGAGGTCATGGACTTCAATCTTCAAGCTGTGGCAGTCCCAGGACATTAGAGAGACAAAGTGAGTGAGGTAATATTTTTTATTGGACCAACTTCTCTTCGTGAGAGAGACAAGCTTTCGAGCTTATACAGAGCTCTTCTTTGGGTGTGCGTAAGCTTGAAAGATTGTCACTCTGACCAAAAGAAGTTGGGCCAATAACAGAGATTACCTCATCTTGTCTCTCTGTTAGGATTAGGGTCAGTGATGAGAGGTTCTTTTGTTCTGTTTTAAATAATTTTGATAGGGTTGTCAAACTATAGCAAACTGAGCTAAATACTGTGTTCTTTCTTCATTTATACCCTCACCCCCTTTGCTTTTTATTAACAAAAAAAAGTATTGGTATTAATGCTAGAAACCAAACTATACAATTACACTGGTCTACAATTTTTGAGAAGTCGTCTGCTTCAGAGATAAAATGTGCTATCTATTATGTATTTTGATGTGCTGAATTCAAATATGACAATTAAAACAACTGATTGGCTACTGTTTCTAAGATATTTAAGTGTTTACATTTTATGTCTATGTATATTGTGTAGATAGTAGAGTTTTAATCATAAATTGTAAACCTAGGTCTTTTCATGTGTTTATGGTTGCTTTACATGATAATATTTCACCTGTCCTGTTTATGTAACTTTTTAAAAATCAGCAAAAGGGTTATC